TAAAAAATTAAAACTAATCGAAACATTTTTCTCCTGATAAATCTATTGGTGGTACCCCCTTGGACATTTGTGCATTTGATTATTTTTCAATGTTGTTCAATTTCTCGAATTCTAGCATCCTTTCCATAAAATGATCCGACCAAGTCTCGGCTTTTGTGGATGAATGAGTCATCCATTTTAGTGATGTAAGTGGTATAGGACATCCCGGTTTCAAGTAAACTTGAATAAAATGACTTGATTTTGAAAGTCACCTAATACACATGATACGATCATTTTGATTTTAAGGTGGGGTGGTGCGCAGTGGAAAAATGGTCTCTGAAAAACCGTAACGTGTCAGGTCAACACACACTATATTATACACACATGCTATTAGGTGACTCATTTCAGGGAAGCGCATCCATTTTGCCTTTGGTGCCGGACCACTCAAACAAGGAACAAGAGACTCATAAACTTCAACGGATTTTTCTTTCTTTCCGTACAACCCTGTGTATGATTCTTTATGCGTCTTCAACTCTTGGATAAGTTGTTGGCAGACAAGTGTATGATTATCTTCTCCTTTATTGAGTAAATTCGAAACAATTCGATAACCGCAATTACCGTCCCCCACAACATTGACGATTTGTTCGATATATTTGTGCATGAAAAATGGCATATCGTCAATAAATGGGATCTTTGATGGAGGTGGTGTAGGAGGTGGTTTGCTAATGCGATCTCCTTTGACAACACTTTTTTGAGATTTTGGAGTTGGTGATTCGGGAAAAACTTTGTCAACGTGTTCAAAACATGAAGGAGATTGTGTAGTCGAATTGTCACTCGGTGTAGGCTTCATTTTCTTTTGAGCACTTTTTATTTTTACCAGTTGAGAGGGAGATTTCATGTCGGTGGTTTCTGGATAGGCAGTCTCTCCCAATTGTTCTTTGATGTGGAGTTTCATGTTGTCACCAGCCTTCAAAAATATCTCTTGTATCACTTCCTATTCGGTCAAAATAGAGATATTCGATTTACCTTCATTCATGACACCATCATCATCAAACTTAAGTCTCTTCTAATGAGTGCAAACATCTTCCATTCTTATTGGATCACCAAGTTTCACGTTTTTAGCAATAACACAAGCACATGGGAGACCATATGTTTTCACAATTATGCATCCACACTTTGTGCTATCGGAGCCTACATTATCAGCTCGTTTAGCCTCGTGAAAAATATATTTTAAACCCGTCCGAGAAATTTTACCGACCAACTGAGAATACATAGTGTTGTCTTTAAATCTATGTTCCAAAACTATGATGCTCCGACCAAATGTTGTTTGTATCTCATTATGATGATTTTGAATCATGTGGTTCATAGAGTCTCAGTCTCTACACAAATTGCCCTTACTATTTTTGTCCAATTTTTCAAAGTAGCATGAGCAGACTCAACTCTGTTAGTTGTTGTATTTTCAAGGTGACTAACATTATCAGTCCACACACAAACTATCTTCTCCTTCACCTAGTGATGAATTGTGTTTTCAATATATTTCAACAAATCTGGATATTTTTCACACACTTTCCTGAAATGCATAACGGAATCGACATATAGTTCTTTTATGGAAGAATTTATTATACAATTACATCCATCCATTATTTTTTCCATAACCACACCCGCATTTGTTTCATCCCTACCGCAAGTTTAACCCAATTTCTCACATTCTTTGTTATGTGATACCTACAAAGTAATGCATTAGAAGTAGGAAATACCTTTACAGTCGAATTCATCAATACGGTGTCGCGGTCTGTAACAATCACTTTAGACATTTCACCTTGGTCCTTCAGCAGTGTCTGACACACCTCTAAGGCCCAAGTAAAATTGTACTCTTTTTCACACAAAAGAAATGCAAAACCAACAAAATATGTCTTCTTAATTGAGGTAACAACAACCATCTCCAATAACGGAAGTCTACACTTGTTGGTATTGTAGGTTGAATCAAGTATGAGTACCATAGGAAACGTGTTGAAAAACTTTATGGAATCAGGATGAGTCCAAAAAATATCTCTAACAGTAACTACATCCTTGCACGTTCGGTACCTAGACACGTAACAGTTATCATCCAATAGTTTCAAGAGTTGTTGCATCTATGTTCTATCCCCCTAAGCATCTTGTTACTGAGGTACCAAATATTATACAATTGCTTGATATTTGATATATTTTTTGGTTGTTTCCGTTTAAATATTACAAGTATATTTTTCAGTTGAACATGATTCAAGGTCATGCTAGTAACACATTCCTTCTCTTTCGGCTTGAGTCGGCAGACACTAGGATGGGCGACTAATTTTAAACACAAATCATGGTTATGCAAACCACATATCACATTAAATCTCCAGTTTTTGTTTGCTAACATGTAACCACGAACATTAAACGGACAATCACATTTTCTTGTACTGGTGTTGTCTCTTTTTAAATTTCCAAAGAGGAGTTCTATATTTCCCGCTTCTTTCGCACGTCATTGTCTCAAAAGTGCATCTTCTATCCGAACCATTATCGGACCTTCTGATAACCACACCAAATCCAAGTTTAGAGACCTCCATATGAATACATTGAAGCATTTGATCACGATATTCAAACTCTTGCTTGTTTTTAACTTGGTTGCCAACATTTACCGCCTTCACAACAACACCTTGGACATTCGGAGAAACAACTTGTTTTGAAAAAACATCGGTGTGCACCATATCTAATAAAAACAATCAAAACCATAACAGCACATAAGCTATATTGCTGAAGAGAGACTTGAAAATCAGACACAAACAACTTCCAGGAATTTATCATTGGACAAGTTCATACTCGTTCCATAGATACATTTTCGGACACAACACAACTTTTTTCAAGAAAAAAAAAAGATGATTAATGTGAACAATGCAGAGGGAAAAGAAGAATATTTACTTGAAATTACATCTTCTTTTGCTCCGTATGATGTGATGAACCAAAAGAATGGAGATTTGGAATTAAAAAATGGATTGAGAATGAAGGATTTTTTTGGTGAAGGGTTTGGTTGAAAACCAACTATAGCAACAATGGTTGTGTGATCATACAACTTGTTCTTTTATTAGATATTTTCGGAGAAGTAACTCCGAAATTTCGGCTGAATTGATAAATAATTAAAATATTTGTAAAATATTCTGGAGATGGATCTCTAAAATAAAAATAACTCAACTTATAGGACGCCTATTAAAATAATCTTACTTAAGTGTGTAAAAGGTGTGTCTGAGATGCATCTCCAAAAACAAAAGACATATAAAAAAAATGCATATGGTGCAGTAAAATATCTATAGTACGTTAAAAATTCTCTTGATTTTAAAAAAATTATAGGATTGATGTACTTACCCTTCAAAATCGTTCTTTTTACTAGAACTTCAAAATCGCTTTAGAAGCATACTTTCTAAAGAGAACCTTATTGAGATTATTTTCACAGCAATTATTTATTTAAATATATTTTAATTATCTTATTTTTGTGTGATACTCTCAAAAAAAAAATATCACAACAATTTAAAATGAAAATTCATCAAAATAAAATTTAAAATTTGATCAATTATAATTGAAAGTAGTAAAATTTACTTATGAATAAAGATAAATTACATACTTGACATTAAAAATTAGCTCAATATAACTTTGTTTTATTGGTCCCGTAAAAAAAACTTAATTTTATTGGTGTAATGTCACCTTAAATAAATTATCCATAACTTATAAAGTGGTAACAAAACAAAAGCATATAAAAAAATACTAGAAATTTATTACTTTTAATTTTTAACGCAATTTTAGTTATTTTTTATTTAATTAATATTGTGTGCATATTATTTTCATTTTACATTATAATAGTAAAAACAATAATAAATAATATAAATAATTGTAAAATTATTATTATTATTATTATTATTATTATTATTATTATTATTATTATTATTATTATTATTATTATTATTATTTAAATCTGGGTTAAATAATCAAATAGGATAAATATATGGAGACGATGAGATAAATGTTAAAAGTACTATTTTTGGTTTTTTAATATTAAAAATAGCTTTATGTTTTCTGACTTGACGCTGAACAGGATAATGATATGCATGTACAAATTTGTCTCTAATGGAATCACCAGACAAAGCTTTCATTTTAATGATGGAACACTATTCTTAATTTTATTGATTTCTTTAAGAATAGGTTTACCTAATTATTGGTTCAAATAATTGTCTCGCTTGTGTTTGGTATATGCTTCCTTCTTCCCTTTCTTTTTATATTAAAAATATTTTTGGTGATTGCAAATGATTGGTGCTAGTAGCTACTAGCTTCATTATTGCTTTTGTAACTTTCGTTTCAAACATTGCTTTGAAAAGGAGTATGGTGGTGTGGCAGGCAAGGATAAGGTAGAAATTGGAATGATAAGAAGAGTGACGCGTGTCTAGTGTGGCACTTTGATTGAGAATCTATACGACATAAAGGAGGGATAAAGGTACAAGCAAAGAAGTGTAGGAACTTGCAAGTGGGTTTCCATGCGAATTGTTAATTTATTCTCTGAAATTGCAGCAGCCAATAAGTTTAATCTACAAAATTTCCAAATTCTTCATGGAATTAAAAGTTATACAAGGCTCTGGAGAATATAAGAATGTTCTCTTTTAAACACCATCTCTTTCAGTTTAAGGACATGTTTGTGGTCATGATACAAATTGATAAAGAATAACCAATTTTTTTCAAAAATCATAAGCATCAAATTATTTCATATTTATATTAACCAAAATAATGAAGGTAGAATGCAAAATATGGTTTTGCAACTAAGCAAAACCAAAAGCATAAATAAGAGTTACCAGGAGACATGATTTATTTAAGTAAATCCGGATGCATATATTTACATATTCCTCTAACTGCAAAACTCTGATGTGATACTAAAATGTAGAAATGAACTCATTTCTTATTAGTGCAAAAGAATTGTAATTTACAAAATGTATATACATTTCAAAACCAGATTTTCGCCTCACTCACATCTCAGACAAAAGGTTGCTGATTTTCCGAAGCTCCTTTAGAGCTGTCATGGCAGTAACCTGCCCTTTTCCAACAAGAACATTCTTAGATGAATTATCCGATGAGGCTCCCTGGCCTCGATCCTGTTGAAAAACAGACTCAATCACCTGCACCACAAAAAACAATGCTTAGATAACAAGTTTGAAACCAGGGAGGGAAAAAGGAAAATAGTTTTGAGGTCTGTACGATTTCATGTGAAACCAAAGTCAAGTGAGAAAGAACATTACCTGAATATGGTCAAGCATAGACTGCCCAATATTCTTTAAAGTGCCCATCACATTTTGGTCAACAGAATCTCCTCTGGAACCAACAGAACTACAATGTCCATCGGGAGAGGCTGGTGGCAGTGATGAATTACTTTGATTGCTATTACTGTTGGCATACTTCATAGCTTCGGCAGCACCTCCTACTTTCTCAGAGATAACATCAACGGTACTCCGTCCAAAATTCCAAAACCACTGGAATTTATTCTGTTTTCTCTCTTTAGGGGCTGTGGCTGAGCTTCCTGTAACGTCATTATCAGATCCTGATGTCTGAGGTAAGTTCTGAGGAGGATCAGAGATTGGAGAGGGTGAATCACAAGGAATGGTATCTGAAGTTTCATTGCGTTGATGATCTCCTTGATTATCGTTATTGCATACTGACGTAGGCATGTTCTCGGGAGGATCTGAGATTGGAAGTGGTGAATCAATATGACAGGTATCTGAAGTTTCATTGCATTCATCTCCTTGATTATCATTATTGCATACTGACATTGAAGGCATGTTCTCGGGAGGATCTGAGATTGGAAAAGGTGAATCAATATGACAGGTATCTGAAATTTCATTGCATTCATCAAGAGATAAATAAGATGTAGCACTATTTTTTTCTGAGGTGACTTCAGGATCATTGTCCTCATTAGGAGGACTGGCGGAGTCAGAATATATAGACGAGTCTTCATCGCGACCAGAATTTCCACTTGGACATTTATCGTCAGATGAGTAGTTGTTATCACTATTACAGCCACTATCTTGTCGCTCTACTTCAACTGCTTCAGAAAGATTATCGCGTTCACTTATGATTTCATCATGACACTGCTCAGGTTCTTTGCTTTCCTCAGCGCCAAGTGCTTTACGCAGATCTTCTAACAAACTGCGTCTAAACGATGGCTTAGATCCTCTTTGCCCGCTTAGAACCCTTGATGGAGGTGGGTCAGATTCTGTTCTTCTCAAACGTAATTTCATCTTTTCTGTCCATCCTTTCTTCTGAGTTGGAACCTGGTTTTCTGCACCATCTTGCTTACGTTCTTCGGCCTTTTGGGCGTTTCTCCACTTTTCTTCCCAGTAGCTATCGGGTATAAAATTCAGAGGAGTTTTCGGAGACACAGATTCAGATGGAAGGGTCACAGATCTCGTAGATATCGTTTTACTTTGGTAACGAGATCCCAAAAGCAAATGTGACGAGGATGAAATATCAATACTTAAAGCAAGATCCTGCAAGGATTTAGCCTTCTTTAGTATTTTTTCAATAGTGATGTTTTCGGGGAAGTTGAGTAGTCTCTGGAGACAGGTTGTAGGATTTTCAGTTGCAAGTAAAGAAGATCTTAAATAAAGTATCATTGCTACAGCAACAGCTGAGATAAATGCTCCGCGGGGTGATTGTAAGATCCTGAAGCCATAATCTATGTCGTCATCCGCACTATTTTCCATTTTGCTATTATCTGATGCAAAGATCGCATCCCAAATGATAAGTAGTTTGTCAAGTGAAAATTCTCGTCCAAATAAAACCCGCAACCATCGGAGGTAAAAGTACTGCGGTTCAACCCCAAGATCCAAAAGATGGTTATGAAGAGAAGAATCAGCAAGAGATAGTAAATGATACAATGCCATAGAAGCTTCAATCACAGGAGGCAAGCCAGTATGGGAGCTAGCTACAGGAGATGAAGCGAAGAAATCCGCCATTGCAACTGAACCATTGGCCCCTTTCATTAAAGCATCAAACATACAGTAAGCATCATGTTCCATGAATTTCTCAGATATTACAATGCCGAGTTCACCTTCGGCTCCGTATGCATCACTTAGTAATACAATGGACTGTATCTCAGGTTCAAGTTCATCAAGACTACCAGCTTTCATTGCATTTCTGTGGGATCCGATTTCATCCTCCATCATGTCAGGGGATTTCCTAAAATCAAAGCTGTAATTAAGATCATTCTCTTGACATAAAAGAACATCAAAGCGGTCTGTGAAGTGATCTTCATAAAGCTTCCGAACTTCTGAGAGACGCTCCAAATCAACTTGGAGAACATAAAGTAGAGGAGCCATTAATTCATGCATTCCTATAAATAAGTCAACAAAAGCAATTCATTAATGTACTGTAAACAGTTTTCACACCATATACCTCGAAAGAAAAATTAGTCATACTAATTATCTAAAAGCAAGGAAGCCAAACAGATTGGATTTACATTTTACCATATAAAGATTTCTCAACAATTTAATTACCCAATTTTTGGCTCTCAATCCTATACTTCCTTCTTATAAACAATGGAAAATTTTATGGCACAAAAACACATCTTCATAGATTCTGGAGCAGTAATAAATGCAAAAGTAGTTAAGAACTGGTTGACAGTTAAGAATACTAAATGATAAAAAATGTTGCAAGCTAAAAAAATCTGTTGCTACAACACGTATTTAAGTATCCCTTAACATTAAAACATGATATGAATAATAGATAGTATTAGTTAAGTGCAATGACATTCTTTTGATTTCTATAATGACTAATTGGATGCTCTACAGTCGATTGTGCAAAAATTAGACCAAAAACAACAAAAGCTTTTTCCAACTAGGTGGGGTCAAGTTCAATCATCAAATAAAAGATAAGTTAGCTATAGTTATGAAATTGGTGTTAGAAGGATAATAGCAACACCTGAAAATGAGAGTGTAAACAAAATGGAGGTAAATTAAATTAAGATTGATGAGTTGCTTGAAATTATTACTTGGCTGAGAAATTTACCTTGTCTATAACCACATTCCGGGTGCTTGAGACACCATAGCAATAAAATGCGTCTCAACATGCCTTGGCATCCTAGTGACTGGAAATAACTGTCATGTTCTGGGTATAAACGTGACAAATCTTGATCAACCAATCTTTCTAGCTCTGCGTTGCGAAAAAAGCGACTCCATGTACTATCTGCATATAAAGGTCATCTAATATTATATTCATCACAGATAAAATTAAAATTTTCATACCAGCACGAGAGAAAAAGAGGACCATCTGTTAGAATTATTCCTCTTTTTTATCTATTGATTTTATCAGAAATGTGGGGGGAAAATAACTAAGATTTACCTGGATTTTGTGAAAGTGGATTGTCCATGACAAGATTCCGTGAGTTAGCTCCATTCTTCGGAGAAGGGGCTTCAGCAAGGAGGTGCCTCCTCAAAGTGGCATACCTGACAAGACAAAGTACGTGATTACCGAGCGTAGAAGTAAGAAACACAATTAGTTAGCAAATTGCATTAATTTTCAGTGCTCAACTCTTCTTTACAATACCAAGTAAACACTGAATTCATAAACTACACAAACAACCTTCAATTCCATATCAATAAGAAACTCAATCTTCTTCCATTTTTTGCCAATGAAATTGCATATGCCAATCTATAGTCTCAATTAATACACCTAAAATACAAATTTTCGTAAACAGAAAATCATAGAACTTCTAGTGTTTCTGCATGACTTTATCTCCATGATGCACCGTAAAAACAAACACAAAAAACAAAATTTCCTGAGAATTTTCTTTACGGTTGAAAATTAAAACTAACTTAATCGAAAAAACTAGCAGAGTTTATTATATTGATATGAACTTATGCATAATCGTTAACCACCATCAATATATACGTAGGAAGAAGAAAAAAAAATTAAGTACTATATCATCCATAAATATACGCATTGAATTTAAGATATCTAATTTAAGAATCCTTACTACAATTAAAAATTCAACATAAAACTTTACCAAAAATAAATCAATTAATCAAACACAAAACTAAAAATAAAATACAAAGTACAAACACTGAACCACTCGATTACAAAGCTGATTTACCTTCTTCTACAATCAGCAGTAACTCGACGAAGATCGTCAATGGAAGCCGCAGAAGAAGACGGCAAAACTCCAAGATTTATTCGCCACTGCAACCCTCTAAGATCACTAAATCGCGGCTTCTCCGGCGCCGATCTCTGAGAACCAGAATCGGAGCTCAAAAACGGCGATAACAATGGATCCACCACAGCTTGCTGCATGACCGTGAAAAATTCCCCTAAATTCCAGATGCTGAAACGCAGGGAAAATCCAGGAAAAACGGAATTTCCCGAAGATATATAAACCGCACAGAGAATGCTGAAAAATGAGTTGAGTTCAATTTAAAGAACCAAAACCCTAACTAACTTTTTTTTCTGGAAATAAAAAAAAAGTTCAACATATTTAAAGAGAGAAAAATAATTGGAGTGTGTTAATAGAAGAGAATAATTGGAGGGGTTCAACTATTTTTTTTTTCTTGTAAATTTTCTTTATGCAAGAGAGAGAGTGTAAGTTGGAGAAGGGACATAGAAGAGAATAAGAAGTTTGTTTTTGTGTAGAGAAAAAAGGGAAAGAAGATGATGGTGTGGAAAAGGTGATTGTGTTGTGTGTGAGCTTGCTTGACCTATGGGAAGGTTTGTTGAGTTGTCTTATTCTTCTAAAATTCCACATCACTTTTGTGGCTTCTACATTATTGCTAGCTTCTCTCTTGCTTCTCTTGAATATTCCATGGTATGATAAAAAATTAGTTAATCTTTTTATTAAAAATATATTTAAAAAACTCATATATCATTTATTATGGTGTGATGTAGGTTTTAATTTTTAATTTCTTTTGAATTTCAATTTAGTATTACTTTGTGGGTGAGTGTATAAAGACTAATTTATTGAGTCAAACAAGATTTATTATAAACTATAAAAGAATCATTAAAGATTTAATATTGTTGGATTTTTAAAGAGCATATGTTTATCGTCAAAATAAATATAAAATCTTAATTATTTAAGAGTTTAATAGTTATGTAAATTCATGGTGTATATGCGAGTTAAATCAAATTGTATGAAATTGTATTTTATAAATTAGTTTGTAAAATTTTCATAAATTATATGATTTATTTTTATTTAATATGCGTGTAAATAAGTTTTGTATTAATAATATATAATATTAGTTTTATAATTTTTCTATGTATATTTATGAAACTATTTTTTTTAATCAAAAGAATTTATAATGAACTTACAAAATCATTGTAGATAATTTTAAAAGTATTGTTTTATAAATATTTAATAAGCTCATTTGAGAGCTCTTGTAATGTGATTGGTTAATACTTTGTATTTTGAAGAAAAAAAAAGATATTTTGGTGATCTTTTAGTCAATAATGGCTGCTTTATATTTCTTTTATTTATTATTATTATTATTTTGAGAATAGATATTGATAGTTGATTTTGCCACTTGTATTGTGTATTTGGTATTTTGCTTCTGGTTTTACAGCTGTTTCTAGATGAAAAAGAAATAAATTTTATGTGATGCATAATTTTTTGGAAAAAGAATATGAATATACTTTATTGTTTGTAAAAAATTTATGATACAGAATATATGTTTTGTACAGATATACATTTTTTTATTGATTTATTTATTATCATTTCAATTAGCCATGGTCCCACACAATAACTGCATTCAATAATAACTTTTTTTTAAAAGACAACTGATTAGTTTTTTTTTAATTGAAATTATTAATTTTTTATATTATGAACGCGTAATTGTTAATTAAATTTTAAAAAAAAATAGTAAAATTATAAAAATAGATATTATTTAAATTAAAATTTTGTATTGATAAATATAAGAATTTGTTGTTTTGTAAAAAAATGAAATAAATTAATTATTGATATAAATTCAAAGAATGTAATGATGATTGAAAATAGTAAATAAAAAATATTAGTTAATAGGTAGATAAAAAACAAATGAAATTAAAATTAGATTGAAGTTAAATACAATCAAGAATTAATTGTGTTAGATAAAAAAATTATTTGTTAAAATTGATGTTATACACTTCAAAAGTAAAGTTGTGTCCGTTTATCATAATAATAATAGTAATAATAATAATAATAATAATAATAATAATAATAATAATAATATGTTTTTTGTATATAAAATAGTTTTAATCAACATTAAAGTTGTGTCCGTTTATAATAATAGTATTTTTTCATATATAAAATATTTTGAATTAAAATTAAAGTTGTGTCCATGTATAACAATAGTATATTTTTGTATATAAAAAAATTGAATAAAAACTGCAGTTGTACCCGTTTATAATAATAATTTTTTTTTCATATATAAAATCATTTGAATCAACTTTAAAGTTGTGTCTGTTTATTACAATAATATTTCTTTTATATAAAAAAAAAATTTGAATCAAAATTATAGTTGTTACAGTTTATAACAATAGTATTTTGTTCGTATATAAAAAAATTTAAAACAAATTTTGTGTCCGTTTATAACAATAGTATTCTTTTCCTAAGTAAAATAAATAAAAATATTAAATTAAAGAATATATATATATATATATATATATATATATATATATATATATATATATATATATATATATATATATATATATATATATATATATATATATATATATATATATATATATATATATATATATATATATATATATATATATATATATATATATATATATATATATATATGAAGTTGTGTCCGATTATTGAAGAATATCTATAATAAAATATTTGATAAAAATTAAAGTTGTGTCCGTTTTAAAATAAATAGAATTTTCCTAAATAGCTATACAAATAATTGCAACATATCTATATGTACTACACAAATATTTGAAGATATTAATTATTGAAGTTAAATTGAAATACACTAACAGAATAAGGTCTTCTTTACACTGTTAGTTAATCATAGTCGTTAAATTTTTATAGATCTTTGACTTTTTCTTTAATCATATATAAAGTATTAATTGTAAATGGTTATCATGCACGGTAAAATATTTTACACAGGCAGTGCATAACAATTACTCTCTTAATTATTTTAATAACCATCAAAATCCAATTGAAGAACATTGTGATGTCAGTGTTGAATAAAAAAATAGAAATAGGAATCATCAAAATAATCTAATTGAAGTGCACCAAGCAAGGATTATAAGAGCATATTACAATTATTAAAGAGCATACATAGGATACTTGAAATAGTCTAAGGCCAGTAGTCTAACAACATAGAACTCAAAGTGACAATCATAGTCTAACAACATAGAACTCAGAGTGACAATCATAATATAACAACATAGAACTCAAAGTGACGATCTCATAGTATAACTCAAAGTGACATTCATATAACAACATAACATAACAATATATGAAAACACTTATAACTTATATACGTTGAATAGGAAAAAAAAAACTTATGCATAAGTGTAACACCTCATTTAAATTATTTAGTCATTTTATAATTTGTTGTGCGTGTATTAGTTGTGATGTCCTTAATAAGGATATGATGTTAGGGGCAAGGGTGATAATAGTAAGAATATTAATGATTAATGATAATAGTAAGAATATTATGCTCATTGGTATTATTATTTTATTATTATTATTATTATTACTAGCGTTCAAACGGGCACTCCGTGCCCGTTTGTCCGCTTTTTTTATTGCGTTAACGCGTGCAATTTTTTTAATGGTGTTTTTGACATATATTTCATTAAAAATAATATTACTTAGGAACAATTATAAAATATATATATATATATATATATATATATATATATATATATATATATATATATATATATATATATATATATATATATATATATATATATATATATATATATATAATGATACATATTAACTTTAATATGTTGTAGTAATGTCTTCAGACCAATTTAATACTAAAAGAAATATCGTCAGACCAATTTAACAATTCAAATGTCAACTTAAAATTAACTTAATAATCTAAAGAGTAGAATGTGAAAATTAAAACTTATCAATAAATTAAATGTTACATAAAATAATATTATTTACATAATTAAAAAAAATAAAAGTAAGAAGACAACCAATATATATTGTTTAATGTCTTAAAACTTTCATAATATCACAATGTAGAAATCATACAAATTATAAATGGATATAAAATAACAAAAATAAAATATTCACATATTTTACAATTAAGAACATTAATAATTTTATTATTATTTTTCATGTTCGATGTTCTGTTCAATAAAAAAGGCATATTTAAAAAAGAAAAGAATGTAGTAGGTGTTATTTATTTTTGTAACTTACCCATTTCTTATAACTTATCTGTGGATGTTGCCACTAATATATGTTTCCTCTCTCTCTCTTTTTCTCACTTTCTCTTCGTCTCTCTCTAACTCTTTTTTTATATCACTCATCAGTCTCTCTACCTCTCTATATATCCCAATCTCATTTGTACATGACATTTATTTGTTCATCTTTCTTTGTTTTGTTAAGTAGCTAATAACTGGTTATCATTAAACAAAAAAATCATGATGAAAACATAAAACACTAATACATTCAATCTTTAAACGATATTCAACCCTTAATATCATTCATAGTCTTAGACTTGACATTATACAAAAAGGAAACTCTAAAGCCTATATTTACCATTACTGTAATTTTATTTGTGAATGTGAGTCTTATAGATGACAAGATTAGAAATTAATCTCAATAACAACCTACACAATATAATTAAGTATCATATATTTTTTTTTTGGATATTTTAAAAATGATCAACTATTTTCTGATGCATTGATAAAATAAAAAATTAAATATATATAGTTCAAATTTGTATTTCTGAGGAGTTGAATGGCGGCATAGTAAATGACTTGATAATTGGTAAAATATACAGTGATATACAATGGTTTGTAACAACTCTAACTTTCTACAAAACGTTTTTTTATACTTATACTGTAGGTAATCACAAAGACACATTGACCGTATACACAATTCACACAATTCAAAGATTCAATAATAATGGAAAGAAAGACAAAATTGCATGTGAAAGAGAATTTAGATGAAATTAGCAATTCATGAGAGAGAAAAATAACTTGCAAGTGAAAGAGAGATAATTGTTTAGGAAGTTAAAAATAAGGATGATAAAAAATTGTTAAAGTTTTAAATTGAGAATGAAACAATTATTATTTACTAAATTTATTTTGTATATGTGGTTGGTTTTAAAATAACAGTTAAA